TCAACAATAGAGGAAGCTGTGTTTTCCGTGTCCGCGGTGACGTCACACAACAGTGGCTAGAGACCACATGACGTGTTTATTGTAGATCCGACCGACGCGCAAATAGACTGGCTGGATAGCGATCACGTGATACGTTTACTGTAGGTCCATGACCGTTCCGCTGCTATATAAGTGACAGAATTCGTTCAGGGCACTTACGAGTCAGTCGTAATCTGGAGGAGTGAGTCCAGAAGAATTTTAGTTCCGAAGTTCCAGAGTGTTTGAAGATGAAATATCAAGAGAACTTCAAAGTGATTTGAAGTGCTAATTTCTGTGTTGAGATCTGTTGTTGGAGAAGACTAGTGAATACTGAGAATCCTGGTGCGTGTGCGGCGGTGGACTGGATAGTGTGAAAATTAGTAACAGTGTAATAATTAATTGTAATTACGACTTGTAGGTTAATAAATCCAATTACCAATCCGAACCTCGTCTTTAGTCACCCATACACGGGAAAATAAGACCAACTGGGTGGGGGGAAGCAGGAAAATTTGTTCATAAACTTAGATAGAGGGNATTAAGAATAATTACACGGATCGCCTTAGAATTGTGAGTCTATACATAAAGTTTTTATTTTATTTTCCGTTAATAATATTCGGAACATAACCATCTTTTTCGATTTAGTTTTTTTTTTTTTTTAGAAATCCAACGAAGTTGCATGTCTAGCTGCCCCCTCCTTGGCTGCCGCCATAGTAGCTTTTGAAGTTGAATGATCGCCGTTAAACAAATTATACTCGCTGCAAAGCGTCATGAGTCACTACTCTTAAAATATTTAAGATACTCGTATGAACCAGAATTCGAACACGCGATTTCAAGACTCAAGGTCACCAAAGCCGTGATACTGATGATGTAATGCTTCCAGACAGCAGGGAAGAGCGGCTAACAAATTCCACTAATGCTTTATATCGGTGTAATATAAACAGAGTCTGAATATGTTTATTCACGGGAAGAATCATGGCAGCAATAAATGAACGCTTCTAGGTTCTTTTCTGGTCTGAGCAAGCAGAAACTACTATCGATCGACCATTAGCATTTTTCATCAAGGTCCTCTCTGACGTTATTCTAGAATTATCCGTCTCACACAAAACGGTACAACCTGTTGGGAGCCAGTATGCCACGGTTACTGCCGTTCGTATTTTAGGAATCTGACTGTTTGAATGAAAGGGGATGCCCTTTATGAAATCCCCATCCACCTTTTTGGATTATGTCTACACTGGCTTTCTCCATCTCAAAGCATCCACCTATCTTACTTGGATCATACGAATACAGATCTGTGTTCTTCTGCCACTGCAGTTCTCACTCAACTTTTGCTGATTTATGGTTCAGTAAAACAGTCGCTTTTCGAAAAACGGTACCATCTCACATTGAACAGTACAAACAAAAGTCTACAAATTTAAATGTTACTGACGCAACTTAACATGTTCATTTATGATATGAAAATTAATATCTTTATGTGACATGTATGAAAGAATCCAAGTTGTCAGAAATTTCCTGTCAGTTTATAATGGGACTGAGCAAGCTTGCATAAGCTGCAACACTGTGACATATTCGGCAGGGGTTTGACTCTATCTTGTTGTGGACACCAGTTATCTTGAATGAGGTTTCTTGTGGTGTTCCTCAGCCATTCCAGGCAAATACCGGTATAATACCTTAAATTAGGCCATGGCTGCTTCCTTCCACAAAATGGTCAACATAACCTATTTAATCATTACAAGGAAATGGAAAAACCACAGTTCAAAAAACAGTATTCTTTTTCAGCTGCAGTAAAATGACACATACTTTAATTTGTGGACTGGCAGCAGTGTGTGAATCACCTGTTGGAAAAACTTCTGTCACAAAACTGGAATGAATATAAGTACAGCACAAAGAATATCACATTTATTGAAGTTGAATATTTAAATATGAAATGCAGTTAGTTTAGCTCAAGCTTGTACTCTTCCACATCTGATCATAAATTTCATTGGTTTCCATTACACTGTTGTAGATGTATAACATCACTCCTAACCCATATCATCGATTTCTATGTCTTAAAAGTACTGACTCAATATCCACAATTAAGCACTTTTTCAGCCTAATTGAATTTGTTCCACAGCTTAGTATCCTGTTTCTCCAAAATCCATTTTAATATATTATAGTGTAAAGGAAGAAGAGAAAAAGAACTACAACCAAATAAACTGTTGCATTCACGATGGCATTTGTATTATTACATATAGATCCATTTTAATTTTATNTTAAATCTTATACTTCCTTCTTCACAAAGGCCTCCCAAATGACTGCTGAACCCTTTGGGTCATAGAAAAGTCTGACAAAACTCCACACCAAAATGAAGACAAACCTGATATCAGTTAGGAAGATATGATGTTAGTAACAATAACGATAATGAACTGTGCAAGATTTTGCTTAAGCTAAAATCAGATTAAGTTCTGTAATGCAATAATTACCAAACCCTGTTAACTGTGCGTTTCTAGAAGGAATTTGCCGAAATATACTGGAAAATATAACGGCTGAGTTTAATATAATCACGAAAACTCTGTAAATTTCATGGAGTAGACCCTTTTGCCTTAACAGATTCAAAAGTAATTGACTCAACCAACTATGCTACTACATGTGCCCCCCCCCCATATTATCTAAGTTCTGACAGCAACATGAAGAAACACAAAAGACATAGATGAGGACAGTAACAACAACATAAGAACAAATACAATCCAGTCAGGACATACAAATGTTCACTTCTTTATTTCCACTTATGTGCAGTAAGTACATTGCTGTCACTCTCTTAATGTACAGCTTCTAACACTGATTCCATTCTGTGAACATTCACTTGAAATCACATGCAGTAAATTAACATTTCCCATCCTGCTTTGTGGAGGGATGACCACAAAATATAGCCCATTTTATGTAAGGGCTATGTAATTGATATAGGTCACTCTCTATCACTCTGGCATTGAGCTAACATAAAACTTCTTTACAACGCTGTTCTATCTCTTTGCTTTGCCACCCAGCTTCGTGGCTTTTTTTGGTTTTGGACGTGGGGGACCCCTGCCATGTTTCTTTCCCTTTTGTGGAGTCTTCAGTCGCCGATTGTCCTTCTTCATCCTTGAGTCAACAACCTTGTATGGTCCTTTGACACCAGGTGGACGCCGAGCTCTTTTTGATGCTGTGTGTTTTTTGGATACCACATATGTTACTTCTTTCTTGCGATTCCCTTTAGCTTTTTTGTATAACCTGAAATGTTATCCGAAAGTATATTTTCAGAAACTGTAGTTTCATAAAACATTACACTTGGCAATCAATTTCCAGATTTAAAATTCAATATGTCCCCTTCATAACTAATTTCTGCCATTTCTTTGTAAAACAGCTTCTAAATGAGACCTTCACTTTTATGTAGTGAAAGTAAAATAACTAAATTCATGAGGAGTTTTCTTCAGAAGCTAACAGTCACTCAGCTAGTCAAGAAATTCCCTGCCTTTTAGTGATCCAAAAGGTTGATTACCATGTTTACAATGTATCTGCCACCAGGTACTTATCCTAAGCCTGGTGAATCCCCTCAATATCCTCCTGCCCTAGTTCTTTATGATTCATTTCAGTATTATATTCCCATCTATGCTTAGGTCTTCAAAGTGGTCCATTCCCTTCAAGTCTTCAGATCAAAATTTTGTATTAATTTATCAGCACACCCAATTCACACTCCTTGATTTGATCATAATAATTTTTCTGGTTAACAACAAAAATCATGAAGTTCCCCTCTAACCAATAATCTCCTCAGAATCATCTTCTCAAAGACCCTCAATCTATGTTCTTTTATTAACATAAGGCACTACCCTTCACCCTCATGCAAAACAAGTACAGTTTATACACTTCCATGCATTTTAAAATCTATCTTTTTAGATATAAGATACAAATTCCTTGGATTTAATCTGTCCTTAAACTCTTCATGAACTAACTCACTAACTTCATGGAGCTGCGTTCTTCTTGTGAAGCTCCCAGTTGTGCACCTATTCAAGATGAGATCTCTTGATAAACATTTTAATTTGTTGCTGGTATTCTTATGTATTCTAACTTTGCTACATTTTCATAGGATTTATTAGCCGCCTCCACATTAAAATGCATACCTCTATACCAACCTCTTTACTAGCAGCATATAACTTCTGTCTTCTTCTTCATAGTATTTTTTTCATTAAAACGTAATGTATATATAACACATTTAAATTGATTGGTCTTACAGCATCAGGATATAGTGAATATAAATGACATGGCAATTTATATAGATATTGTGACATGTTGCGCAAAGCCGAGCCCCCCCCCCACACCAGCAGTGATGCGGCGGGTGAGTCAGCGCTCCCCTCCCACCCCTCAGNTAGTTCTTTATGATTCATTTCAGTATTATATTCCCATCTATGCTTAGGTCTTCAAAGTGGTCCATTCCCTTCAAGTCTTCAGATCAAAATTTTGTATTAATTTATCAGCACACCCATTTCACACTCCTTGATTTGATCATAATAATTTTTCTGGTTAACAACAAAAATCATGAAGTTCCCCTCTAACCAATAATCTCCTCAGAATCATCTTCTCAAAGACCCTCAATCTATGTTCTTTTATTAACATAAGGCACTACCTTTCACCCTCATGCAAAACAAGTACAGTTTATACACTTCCATGCATTTTAAAATCTATCTTTTTAGATATAAGATACAAATTCCTTGGATTTAATCTGTCCTTAAACTCTTCATGAACTAACTCACTAACTTCATGGAGCTGCGTTCTTCTTGTGAAGCTCCCAGTTGTGCACCTATTCAAGATGAGATCTCTTGATAAACATTTTAATTTGTTGCTGGTATTCTTATGTATTCTAACTTTGCTACATTTTCATAGGATTTATTAGCCGCCTCCACATTAAAATGCATACCTCTAGACCAACCTCTTTACTAGCAGCATATAACTTCTGTGTTCTTCTTCATAGTATTTTTTTCATTAAAACGTAATGTATATATATAACACATTTATATTGATTGGTCTTACAGCATCAGGATATAGTGACTATAAATGACATGGCAATTTATATAGATATATTATAGAAAATATATAACAACTTTTGATCCCCTCAATATCTATTGTAATGTCAGGGAAATTTACTGTAATAAATGGAAAGGAAAATACTGAAAAAAATGCAGAACATTGGACTACTAACTCTCTGATTTGTTTGGCCTTTTCTCTGTCACCAACATCCACACTGTCCATAAGAGCTTCCATCTTCTTCTTTGCACGCTCCAATCTTTTAATAGCACGCTTCTTTTTTCGAGCCTTTGCCTCTATCACTTTTTTGATTGGTCTGACATTCAGCTCACGTAATTTTGTTGTGTACTTGGACACCAGTTCCTGCACAAAGTAAGTTTATGCTTAGTAGGATTCATACAAGACAAAGAATTAAGTCATCTCACAATAACATCTAATTCTGTTATTAACTGAACTCAGCAGATTATGTATGCTTTAAGCAAGCACACATGTTGTCAACTGCCGATGGCACAATGCATTCAAGTTTCCTCAGTAAAGGACATGCACAAGAAATACCATCGGACAGACCTTAGGAACTGGGGCTTCCTTCTTCATGTGTTTAGCTTCATCTTCGACAAACCAATCTGGAAGACTATCATCATTGAAAGCATATCGGTTCCAGCCTGCATCTATCAGATTTTGTTTGACCTTGCGGGAAGTTACCATAAGTGTTCCCAATGCCAATCCTTCCACATCAAGCTTAAGTTTACGTTTGCGACTTGGTGGGGCTACAAACACAAGAAGTAATTTTGACACAAAATGTAGCAGACATCAATAGAACTGAAAATAAGTGTTGTTCATATTTTTTACCTAAATGTAATAAGTTATTTACACAAAATCCACAAATATAAGTTACCTGAACTCTGAATTTAAGTAACTTCAGAGAAAGTCTGTAAATGAAACCAAATATTTTATATTGGTAGCTTCTGGGCAAGCTGTTCAGTAAAATATCAGAGTGAAATTAAACTTTTTGATACCACGTAACATTGACCCTATACAAAAAGGGCAGTACGAATCAGAAATGTCTGTGTGAAATTATAAAGTGCATAAAAAATCCTAAAATACTCGTACATCTTACCCAATATAATGTTCCATCTTTGTGTTCCCTGCACAACATGCATGCAATGAATATATCATGTGAAAGTTGGGTGTATCTTTTTGTACATCAGCTAAAATGCCTCAGTTGCAGAGATCCTCCTTGGATTTTAAAGAAACTTAGCAAGGGGGAAGGAGGTCTACACTGAAACACAATAGGAGGATTCCATGAGATTTGTGGTCTTCTCAGTTATTACAATGTGCATTCTGGCAGGTGGTCATCAACATATTGGAGGACACATGCTCTCATCTTCAGAGTATCAGTGTCATAAATGATTTGGAAAGATCCAGTGGAGGCATATTTCAGCATCTCTGGCATGACCGATGGAAACCATGATAACACCGTTCAAGACAGTCAGCAGCCTTGCCAAAGATTCAAGCATATACCTCCTTGAATACAGGTATAAACAAAGCATTACTGCTATACTTGCCTCTTTACTCAACAAAAAAAGATCTTATTTCATATTAATGTTATCTTTGATTACCCTAACTGGAACAACTGTACCTTTTTGGTGACTGAATGTACTGGCAGACGTATCCACAATCTGTACTTAACACTATCACTTACCTTCATCTTTGGCAACAATTTCAAATTCTGCTTTGCCTCCAGCTGCTGCCTTAGAATTGTTCTTCTTTGACTGAAAATCAATCTCTGTATCTGTGTCAGTTGCCTCATCTTCATCCTCTTCATCAGAACTACTTTCATGTTTAGCTTTCAAGTTTTCTTCATTTTTCTTAATGTCACTAATTAACTTTCCACCCATCCTCTTGTACTGCTCTACCATTTGGTCCAATTCATAATCTTCATCTGCTTCAATTTCCAAGTTCCTGAAGATATCCTACAAAAACAATAGGCTTCAGTATATGCATATACTTGATGTTCCTGAACAGTACAAGACATTCTTTGTTACTGTGCCTGCATTGTTAAATGTCTTGCACAATGCCAAAGATGAATACAAAGGCATAAGGGTGCTCTGACATTAGACTGCCAGAATCAGTGTAAGTGCAGATACATTATCATCCACACTAGTGCTATCACATGGAGCTTCTTTTAATTCAGGAACATTACACATAAGGCTGTTTTCCTTCTTGATACTAGTAGCCAAAAAAGTGAGGAAACACTTCTAATACCCATATATGAAAAAAACAATGACTTCAAGGACTTTTGTTGTAGAAAGCAGAAATAAGTCAAATACACGGGAAGACAAAACCTGTTAATATCACAAAAAAAAAAATGTATGAATGATATGAAAAAGAATCCTGGAAGTAAATATGGCATAAAAATATCTGAAGTCTAACTTAGAATCAAAATGAAATGTATTTACATACAAAATTAAAAAGGACCAAATTATTAATTATTATGAATTAATATTCAGTTCTGAGAGAAAAAATTTCAGTCCATGAAAACTGTACCTTTTCAAACCAGAGCTCAGCTCTATGGGACTTCTTTTCTCTCTTGCTCCTGGGGTCCAGATCGGTTAGGAGGGGATTGTCTTCTTGGTTGCATTTCAGACTATTCACTGTTGGGTCTTCTTCCTCATTTTCTTCATCACTGTTACCGAGACCTATCAGCATTGATCCATACAGAATCAGATTCAGCAACACTTCGTCAGCTGCAGGGCTTAAGTTTCTGAAAACCACTGTGGTTGGCAAAACTGTGCCTTATGGCACGCTGGGAGTCAGGAGAACCACAGCCACTGTTAGCACTCTTCAGAGCATTAAGTTGATTGTTCTTTCACCACAGAACATATGTGGCAACATGTTTAAAATAAATGGACAAAATACGAGGGTCATACTGAAAGTCATGAGCAACAATTTTTTGTAAAGTAACATGCTTTATTATTGACAGACCAAATACACCACCTCAATCTACAGACCTTTCTTTATTTTTCCTCATAATTGCCACTTCTTTGTACACATTTCTCCCAGCATTCTGGGAGTTTGAAAATTCCCCTGCTGTAAAATTCCGTTCCAGCCATCCGAAGACACTGACACACTGCTTTCTGAATTGCCTCCCTTGTCTCAAAACGTTGTCCATGCAGCTGATCCTTCACAAATCCGAAAAGATGGTAGTCGGAGGGTGCCAGATCAGGGCTATAGGAGGGGTGTGGAAGAACTTCCCACCCCATCTTTGCAATTGCTTCCAATGTGAGGCCAGCAGCGTGGGGGCGAGTGTTGTCATGCAGGATGATGCTGTTTCGTACCGGACGTTTATCGCGAAATGCACAACGGAGCTTGTGCAGCGTCTGGACATAACGAGCAGCATTGATGGTTTGCCCAGGTTCCAGGAATTCGGCCAGAATAAACCCCTCTGCATCCCAGAAGACTGTGCCCATCACCTTCGCAGCTGATGGCACTGTCTTTGCCTTCTTTTTTGATGGAGAATGCAAATGGTGCCATTCCATACTCTGCCGTTTCGTTTCAGGCTCGAAATGGTGAAACCAGCTTTCATCACCTGTCACAATACAGAGCAAGAAATCATCGCCTTCATGTCGATATCTCTGCAGCAGTTCTGAGGTGATGGCTTTTCGCTGACCTTTGTGGTCTTCGGTCAACAACCGCATGACCCAATGAGCACAAACTTTCCTATAGCTGTTGTGCCCTGATAGGGGTCAGTGACTGCACTCACCCCTTATTGAATGTCTGTGGATATCTTTTAACCTGTGCTGGGGAAAACATGCTGCACTAGGGGGATCACAAATAACTAAAGTTCTCAAAACAACAAAAAGGTAATATATAATAAAATAAACCACTAGTACAACTCTATCCTAAGAACACATTAACCAACCAAAATAATTAAAACCAGAAGTTCTACTTGTAATAAGCCATCAGTGACCCGACCACGGACAAGTACTCACTCGCGCTCAACATGATGCACATGAAAAACAATGGTGTCATCCCAAGAACTTCCACAGGCACACTTTGCTCTAGTTCGTTCGTTTCTCGCAATTGCTAGAAACGGAGTGCCTGAAACAGCCTGTTTTTTTCAATTCCAAAATTCAACTATTTTTTCCCCAAGTCGTGAAGGCTGCTCATATGAAATCCCTTAGGTCGGCAACTTGCTGGACATTTCTTGTCACGCGAGTGAAACCTGACCAGGTCTTTCCACTGATGCATAAACAGTCTTTTCTAAAGACAATTCAATCGACTGACAAGGAATGCGAAGAGTCAGCCGAGGCTCTGTCTCCTTGCCTTCTGGCCAGCCGTCTGGCATTTTAACCTAAGCATCCAATCTTACAAACCTATACTTAATATCTAATAAAATGGGCACAACATAGCCCAAGCTTTCAATCATCTCCTGTACTGCTCTGTGCCCTATTCAAGGTTTTCAGGCTATTGTGTCCACAGTCGCATGCCTGTCATGCGTTCAGTTGGGGCTGTTCGAGGACAACCCTCTGAGGCTCATCTTTGATGCTGGTGTTCCCATCTTTAAAATGTTTCATCCATCTTCAAACACTGCTCGCACCCATGCACACACTTCCATAAGCACGCTGAAGTCTCTGGTGAATTTCTGAAGCAGGGATTTCCTCTTTCACAAGAAATTTGATGACAGCACACTGGCGAAACGACATATCATTGTGAGCCATTTTGTTAGGAGTTATACTGGTCACGTGATGCAAGCTATTGACGTCACTAGACACTCAAGGTTAACACAACAGCTGGTTCCACCTACCGCTGTACTCTCTTTCATCTCCTGTTCCCAGGTTGCATGCAAAAAAAGTTGCTCATGACTTTCAGTATGACCTATGTACAAGAATAGTCACATTCGGGGAAATGTAACGGTTACATCCAAATTATAAAACTGGTTTGTGGTGTCATTACAACCCTGTTCCCTGCAAATGTGGGTCTCCTGATGCAAAAGTCATAAATTTTCTCTATGTATACACAATTAAAAACCATGAGCATATAAAACCAAATACTGTGATTGGCAAAACTGGATACAAACAGAAAACTCCAGACACTGAAATCCGTTGTTGTCAAGAGACTGCTCCATTAGTAAAATCAATATCAGATTGAGTAATCTGTAGTTACTATACAGGTCCTATGTAACACCTTAGAAGCTGAGGTTCACTCAAGTATGCCCTTAAAGTCAATACCGCAGATTTATCTTTATCACATAATTGTCATCCCACCCCCCCAAAAAAAATTCCACTGTCAAAAGTGAGGACTTTGGATTTATATGAGGATTTATGAAAATCATCCATCCAAATAAATTTCTCCAAAAACTGCTTAGATTCTATACAGACTAACTACAAACAAAAGACAGTCTTTCAAAATTAAATTCTTCATGTATTTAAAATTATTTATATTCTCATTATACCTTGCACAAAGAAGTTTTCAGGAAACTCATACACCAACCATCAAGTTCACAGACAAGTTCCTTAATCTCATGTGATGTTTCTCTGACACGATACAGTACAAACATGTCTTTCATTTGGACAACTTTGGCTAAGGCTTGGTGCTTCTAACTTACCTAAACCTTCCTTTGGAATGTTATCAGAATCTTCAGAATCTCTGTCTTCTTCTGGATCACTCATGTCACCTGATTTATAGAACCTAAAAAGAGATTAATTCCTAGTTTACGAAAAACAAACTTTGTTATATGTAGAGGCATGAAAACGATTAGACACTGAAGGTGCATATACCAGAATATTAGAAAAGAGTGAAAGATATATTCCCTTATATTNTATTTGTTACGCAATTCACCTGCCCTGAATATGGAGGCAATATGTTCCTCCGAAACATCGGCTGAAACAAAGAATACACAGCGCCAGATCCCAGAAGAAGACTTTCTTCATAGTAATCGCCGTGAAAACCTCAGAACTTACACAGATTAATTCCTAGTTTACGAAAAACAAACTTTGTTATATGTGCAGGCATGAAAACGATTAGATACTGAAGGTGCATATACCAGAATATATGAAAACAGTGAAAGATATAATCCCTTATACTTCTTTTTTTTTATTGCTAGTGGGGTGGGACTAAGTTCCTCATACTGCGCCCATTTCTGGCCTATTGTACCAGTCCCAGATGAGAGGTGAGGGTGATTGTGAAGCAATTGGTGGAATGAAGATTGGCAGGGGAAACCAAAGTACTCAGAGAAAACCTGCCCCAGCGCCACTTTGTCCACCACAAATCCCACTTGACTACACCCAGGATCGAACCCAGGCCACCGTGGTGGGAAGCCAGCAATTAACCGCTTGAGCTATGGCACGGCCTTTCTTTTATACTTAAACTCTGCAGTGGACTTTTGTAATCATTGGTAAACCTTGATCCACAAGTAAAGCATGGAACAAACTTGTTTATCAGCAGACACTGCCTTCATGAAGTGAACAAAAATTCTGCATTTTCTCTATGTCAGTTTTTTGGGTTAGCTCTGTGGACTGTATGTGCAGAAAGCATATAAGATGGTATGTGGTAGTTACAAGGATGTTCTAATTTGAAGAATGAGCAAATATTTGTTGTCATGTGACTGGCAAAGAAAGTCTCACAAACTTATGATATATTCAGGGAAAAGGCCATGGGTCAGGCAAGACTGTACAAATGGCTTATGTGCTCCATGGAGATCCTAGAATCTCTTTATAAAAATGGAAAAGGAAGTACAGAAATATCTGAATATAGGTCTGGAAAGATGTTCCAGATATGGCAGATTATCAAGTGGCACAGGTTTATAGATCAACAAGGGAATACATGAACAGTATGGTCGTCTGGTTTGTAGCACTGTGTGGTTCAGAGAGATGCCAATATTTTGGAAATATACTGCCTCCATCTTCAAGCAGACTCTGAGAGAGACAGTGAGAGCAAAGGAAATGCCCCAACTAAGATACTGTAATGTGTTTGGAGTACAGACTTCCATGGTAACGCAATTACAGTGGGCCGCTGTGTAGGCAATGCCGAAACAACGAACGCATTTCCCTGGAGATGAACAACAGAAGGCCGTTGAGTACCAACGGATGAGACGAAACATGTTACCGCCGTAATCTAGAGAGATTGTTCCCGAAGTAATGGATTGCCGAACATGTAAGATCAAACCTTTGCGAATGGTGTCTCATATCCGGTCCGCAGAACTACATAAGCCGAGAGCGACAGAGCTACAACATCACAGAGCTAATTAGCCTTCATACATGACAGTTGAGATCTAGCCTTCATAGAGCGCAGTTGGAACCTAGTCGAGACATGATACCACAGCTGATAATAAGTGTGAGTGTCCAATAAAGATTCGCTGAATCCGAGACCCACGTGAATTTATTTGTTGCGCGACATACCCAACACTGTGTGGTTCAGAGAATGTTTTGGAAATATACTGCCTCCATCTTCGAGCAGACTCTGAGGGAGACAGTGAGAGCAAAGGAATGCCCCAACTAAGATACTGTTTCCTTTGCTCCCATCTTTGAGTCCTCTTACAGACAATGGTCACTCTTCCATTGGCTCCCTCACAGCTTGTTTCAGGACTAGGCCAACTTAAGACCTTTGGCAGCCTTTGGAACAATCTAGAAGGGGGGGAGAGTCTTGCTGTTTTGATTAAATGACAGGAGTGCACAGGCTGGGCTACATGAAGCCCCGTTACCCCTGCATTCTTCTCCCATGCAATATCAATTGAAAGAACACGGTGCTCAAATGTATTATTTCAGTAAGGTAAAGGTAAAGTTGTCCCTGTGCTTAACTAATTAAGCACTACGCCATGAAGGCGTATGGGGGAGTGGATGTATAGATTCACATTTTCTTGACCTCAGCACTAGCTGGAGGTGAGTGGTCAGCTTCACGCCCTGGCCGCTTTACCACTGGGGAAAGAACCCCTGGTACCCATCGGACAGGAGGTTGGGTGGGCCCCAGAGCTGGTCTGGACGATGAGGAGAAGAGAAAATTCTTGACCCCACTGGGACTCAAACTCCAAACCCTCAGGCACCCAGTCTCTACCCTGGCTCCTGTATTATTTCAGTACTGAGCATTTTCCTGGAAAGACTAAGGAAGACCATGAAAACCACAGTCTGGACAGCAGGTCTCTGGGTGTGATTTCAAACCTGGCACCACTCAGACAGTTTCCATTGTTATGCATAATATAATAATACCCAAGACCATTAAGAAATATATACAGCGTAGATCTCAAAAGTTTAGGAATCTGATTATTATGCAGGAAGTGAGAGCTATTGAGGAATTAGAGGATAGAACAGATGAGAGACAGCATGGTAAAGAAATGTTTGCCAGATAAGTAAAAGTATCCCTGTAACAGGCCATGAGATGTTGAGGTTCCCACATTTTCTAGACAATCGGCTCATGGATGATGGCAAGGTTGTCAGCCCTATGCACTGGTCACCCTTTACCCCCAAGAATATTCCAAAAATATTCTTGGTACTCATTTCTGTTAGAGGCTGAGTCGACCCCAGGGCCATAGTGCCGCTGGAAGAATTATGTCAATTGAAAAAAATCCAATGACCTCATCAGGACTTGAACCCGTGACCTTCCGGTTTGTAGCATAGTGCCCCAATGTTTGCCAGATGCACAGCAAAATGGCTAAAGAACATTCTGGAGTGGATACGTGAGGCTAGGAGAAAATACAGACATGCTTCAAGCTTTATCATCTGGATTTAAATTTCCCACTCGGTGGCAATGGTAGCCAGATTTAAATTGGCAGTAATGGGATTTATATTGTAAACAACTGGATGCAAGGCCCACTGAACCAGTGCATAAACTGGCAAGCTCCGAATGCACGGACAATAAAGGTTAAGACAACAACAATGGAATCTGGAACATCAAGCATGCCAAGGTGAATAACATTAGTATTTTAAGGCGCCATACCTTTATATGATACAGTTATCTCAGACAGCCTGTAAACAACAGTTTCAGATCACAGTATTGTGAAGTGTTGGGTGTATAACATGACAAATAACTTTACGCCGTCTTGGATATGGCGAATTTATTGAACACTTGCTCTTACAATCACACAATTTACAATCTCACAATTACTGCCATCAGCAGTATCTCAAATACTTCTCCCGTTGTTACTGCCATGCACTCGATTCAACCTGGCTCGGTGACTGCTAGATTGAAACTGACAGACAGGTTAATCGTTACTCACTGGTAACTCACTCACTTGTAACTGGCTCAATACTCACTCACTACTGAATAGTGTTCGCTCCTCCTTATTTAGCCTCAGCACGGACAACACAGAAAACAGTTACGTGACAGGTACCGCTGCTGCCTGACGCCATGTTCACAGGTGTTGCTAGCAACGCTGTCATGAGTTGATTATGGCTGGGTAGTAACCGCAGTATCCCTTGGTAACAACACCGCAGCAATGGTTGCCTGACCCAATTGCTCCTCTGTTATGTCACCATGAGGGAAGGGGTGTTTACCGAGCATTGGGTGATAATGGAAGGGGTGGAGGTATGTGACGTCACTCGCAAGACCGCAGAGTTCACGTGACCCCTACTTCCCATTGCGCCATCCATGTCACAGTATTATGAATCAATTACTGCTGCTATATAGAAAGATAAGTTCAAGAGAAAAAAAGCGAATACAAACCACTGCCACAGAGCAGTTAATGTCTTGTACTCACTTGCCAGAGCTATCAAGATGACTGCTGCCATCCTTCTCATACATTACAAACTTCTGTTTTTTGGGGAATTCATCATCTGACTCGGCTTCTGATTCTGCAAGCATGTCTGGAGTATTGTCCATCACATTCTCAAGTGCCTAGATACACAAAATTAATCATATTTGATGAGGAATAAAAACTGTCACTCAAGCCAACGTGGGCCAACTGACACATTATGTACTGCAGAAAATGCTGTATTATGGTTAAACTAAACTCCTGCTTGAGAACAACACAATAATGCCACAGCAAACAACTGAGGAAACAGTTATGAATAATCTGCCTCTGAATTACAGAGTAAGTGACGAACATAAAATGACCATGAGTCTGCTAATTCTTAAAACTCGAATCTCATCTTGCATAATGCAATTTTTCTTTCTTTTACAATTTAATCTCCACATCCATTCATGGATTCTGACACACAGATCTTGTCAAATTCTCCAGCTACAGCTTCTGTTATCACCAATCTCCATAATGTCAAACCCCGCTTCTATCCTCTTGTCCAATGTTATAATTTCCCTGTACAGGTCCAATGTCGTCTTGCACCACAAACTTTATGAATTTACCGTGTTACAATCATGTGCTTAATATTATATGTTTATGCTTTATGCTCTCCGACATCTCTTCTAATAGTTTTCTAATAGTATGAGTATGGGAACAGCAAACTGCAGGAATTTTCAGTTTTCTTAAACAGCATGTGTGCATATTCCTTTCCAGAAATTCATCCATGATACCTGGTACAAGCGAAGGTGGAAATAAAAAGGATTAGACAGGGTTCAACTATATTAATGTTCCCACCAAAAATATCTTGTACTTAAAACAAATTTCCCGAATGACACATATAAACACATTTCAAATTTTGTGACACAGCTGTATCTATTTTGCCGAAAAGGTGAAAGGTAAAGCTATCCCTGTAACAGGCTCTGGAGGTCCACAGGGTTGTGAGACGTTGAGGCTCCCACATTTTCTAGACAATTGGCTCAGATGGCAGTGCTGCCAGCCTTATGCGCCGGCTGCCCTTTACCCCCAGGAAGATTCTGGTACTCATTTCTGAGTTGACCCCAGGGTCATAGTGCAGCACGAAGGATTAGGTAAACTGAAAAACCCAATGACCTCACAGGAGAATTGAACTCGCTATGTTCTGGTTTGTAGCTAGCCTCTCATTAAGCTACACTACCTCATGTACCCATCTATTTTGTTGTACTATGCTAAATGTAAAACTATTAACTCGTGGCAAAGTGCAATTGATCTAAGTTTAAATGAGCTATCACACTATCTCTTGAACAGTTTGTTGTAGTGATGAAAGTTTCACCACAAAATATTAATTCTGTGAAGCAAATCATAAAATGACATTTGTCTGTAATACTACAAGGCCTAACTAAATCTTCAGACCGTGCAGAATGATATGGTAAAATGCTTCTTAAATGTTTGATGTTAATTACTTTTTTTGGGTTGTTACACCATGTGGATATAGATAATGTTGCCAGTGTTTCAGAGGTACATGCTGCCTCCATTTTCAGGAATAACTTTGAAGATGGAGGTACCATATACCTCCAAAACGGTGGTAAAATACCCCCATCTACATCGCGCAACAACCCAAGAACAGATTTAACAGTAGCAATTAACCTCTCTGAACACATAAAAATCATTAATTTTTAATATCTTCTGATATTTTGTGATTTCATGACCACCTGAGGTCAAGTTGATGATTTATTAATGTACTGAATGAGATAAGCAAAGATGATGGTGTGTGGTTAGTGAAAAAAAGAGAATTGTGGCCTATTTTAAAACCACTATTCCAGTATTTGCCTAGAAGTAGGATGGAAAACCACATGTCTGGTTAGTTGGTGATTCACCTTAAATTGCAAGTGGACAAAGTGCCTTACTGTTCAATTTAACCTGATCAACTGCACATATTTACAGCTCTGTTTGAAATGCAACCACTACCATCTTCTCAAGCGGAAAAAGTTCCACTATATTTGAAGTTGTAACAAACCTTGCTACTCTCTATCTGCTTCAACTGGAACATGTCACTCCTCTCAAGTTTTGGTCCTTCATCTCCACGGAGAACCATCTTGAGATTGAGCCGATCCTGTAGTCTTTTACGTTCTTTGTTGGTTCGCTTCCTCTTTCTTTTCAGATCTCGAACTTCTTCCTCTTGCAGTTCAGATACTTGGCGGGAGAGCTCTTCAATGTCACGATCATCCTCATCACTTTCATCTTTCTCCTCTTCCTTCTGCAGACATCAAAATATGCCTCACTTAAAAGAATGAAGAACACAAACAGCACACAGATGATTTATATTTCATTAATTAAATGTTGCAAGTCCTTTTTACGAATGATACTAAGTGATGTGCAGCAGGCTGCTACATTACTATTCCTGCTTAAAATTGTGGAATACAGTGTTCTGTAAGCAAAATATTTTAATTCCTAGACTTTTATTTTGTAATATCCTTACTTCATATAGACTGGATTGATCTGGTTCATGGTAGGGACCAAAGGCAGGCTCTTGCGAACACGGTAACAAACCTTCGGGTTCCATAAAATATTAGGAAATTCTTAAGTAACTGAGCAACTGGCAGCTTCTCAAGGACTCAGCTCCATGCAGTTAACACCATTACTTTTTCTAGCTAACCTTTTCTTCAGCTGCTGTCGTCTTCTCTTCATTCTCAGCTTTAACTTCAGCATTCACTTGTTTCAGAGCTTTCCACCAGTTCATGAGAGCACGAAGTTCCTTACGACCCAACACTTTGATGTCTTTACAGCACTCCTTGATTTCTGTAGTTGTTAGAGGATGATTCACTATCTCAGGATCATCTAGCACAATCTATTAATCAACCATTATGTTCGATTAGAATACACAAAGAATTACAAATGTAGAATCAAAGACAGTAAGATGAAAAATAAAACTTATACTAATCCTCACGTGACTCTGAACACATCAGAAAACTCCCTGATCAGTCTATGTCATAAAGTGATGCTAAATGCATCATGTTAAAAAAAAAAACTACTCACTGCGTTCCACACGATTTAATCCTAACATGAAATCTAAACATTACATAATTATTAAACTCTATTCATTTCAGCTGTTATGGCACATAGTCATATTAAATGTATCACCTAACCTCTGAAGCTCCTTGCAGTGCATCCACAGCACTCTCACTGGCAATGAACTCTGCAACTGACAGTTTGTGATATAAGGTGTAGTCATTCTCTGGATAGCCTTCAGGTTTTGTCTTCTTCTGCTTTTCTGGATGAAATACACTAAGCTTATTCTGGGGCTCCAAGTCTAGCTCCTCAAACACATACTTAGCATTGAGAAAGCGAGGGTCCAACTTATCTGGTGCTTTGTATCCTTGACATACCACAAAGATCTCTGCTGACTCACTTCTTGATGCTTGAGGCTTTGTTGAATGCACCTGAAAGAACAAGAGGTCACTGGTTATATATGGTGTACCAAGTTCAGAAATTATCTAGTGCTGAATATGATAAGAGCTTGAACACTGGAGCAGGAAGCAGCCATTCAAGGCACAACTCCATAAAGATTATGAAAAAGGGTTCTAATATTATTTTATTCAAATTAATAAATATTCATATAAAAATAACCTTCTTGAAGAGCTGTTTAAACACCCAGATTAATGACTGATAGTCTTTGGAACGAAATATCTTGGTCACAAACCAGCCACCAGCTCGAAGAATATGAGTAGCCAGTTTAAGGGCACTGAGTGTAAGGCATGCTTGCTGATATGCATCATGTAGCCAGTTCTTACCTGAAACAAATAATTATTAATTAACCTGCAACTTAATGGGGCACGCAGTAGCATAGTTGGTTGAGGCACTATACTACAAGCTGGAAGTTCATGGGTTTGAATCCTGATGAGGTGAATTTTTTCTATTTACCTAATCCTTCCAGCCACACCATGGCCCTGGGGTCGATTCATCCTCTAACAGAAATAAGTACCAGGAATATTCTTGGGGGTAAAGGGTGGCCAGTTCATAAGGTTGACAACCTTACTGACATCTGTGAGCCAACTGTCTAGAGAAAATGTGGGAACCTTGATGTCTCACAACCCTACGGGCCTTCACAGCCTGTAACAAGGATAGCTTGACCATTTTTTTACCTTTACCTGCAATTTAATAGGCAGGTACTTGCTATACTGAACTACATTTCACTATAAACACAAACATGCGATATACAGCTACTATAAAATAATATGTATCCCCATATAACGAGGAATGAAATCTGTTTCCTTTAGAAACACAGAATAACCCAGTACAGCATCAGTCCACAGCTAGTATCACCACTGTTTCTGTCGGTCTCTCTTAGCTCAAAAAGGTGAAGACAATAAACAAACAGTTTATACACATACCAACATTGGGTGCACCATCATTTAATACAAGATCTGCTTTCCATGTCTGAAGTTCTTTCTCAATAGCAATTCTGCATTTATCTGTGGTTATGTCCTCTTGCAGAGCAATGCAACCTGGAACTGTCTTGATGGGGAAAAGATCCACACCTGAAATAGGTAATTTAAGTATGTAATCTATACACAAACATCAGAACATTTACAAAATTAATCTGTGTTTACGCTTAATAACTGAAACAAAACAAATTAAATGCATTCTAGGAAATGCAGAGATGTATCCAAATTTAGAAATTTTTAGAAACCATACTGNCACGGTGCCAAATCCCAGAAGACTGCTTTCTTTATACTGTTGAAGTTCATTCAACTCTATACTGTGGGCCACATAAGCAGGCAGCAGAGCTATACAGTAGTCAGTTGGATATCTCCCAAATTTTTTATATCGCAGGCTCTTTGAGCAGTATGTCAAGACTTGTATGTAGGGCAGTCAAAAAGTTCCTGGAATTCCCTTGCAGATGGAAAATGAGCAATAAGTGCACACACTGTTGTGGTGGGGAGCTCAGCATGTCTGCTCGCAAGTGCAACAGGTCTGGACAGGTTTCAGTGTGCAGTGTTGTTACTGTTCTGTTTGAATTAGATGTGTGTGTTGGTCATTTGGAGCAATATCACAGTTCGAACAGCATGCAAACATCAAGTTCATGTGCAAATTGGAAAATCTGCTTCAGAGATGCAATCGGCCCTGCAACAAGTTTACAGTGATACTGCACTAAAGAAATCCGCAGTTTATGACTGGTTTTCCCGGTTTAAGAATGGGCAGGAGAGCATGACGAGTGCAGCGGGAGATCTTCGACATCCAGAACCAAAGAAATGACTGGAAAAGTGTGACAACTGATTCAGTGTGATCGAAGAACGACCATCACGGAGTTGGAGCAAGAAGTTGGTATCTCTCACGCATCCATTCATGCCATTTTGTCCAATGATTTGAAGATGAGACGAGTCAGTGCGAAGTTTGTTCCAAGGCAGCTGACCACGGATCAGATGGAATGTTGCATGATGGTATGGCTGCTGGCAATCTATTTGACAAAAATATGCAGATGAGTCATTTTCTCAAAAAAGATCGTCACTGGTGTTTGCCTACGACCCGGAGACGAAGATGCAGTCATCGGAGTGGCACACAGCATTGTCTCCTTGACCAAAAATATCATGCCATGTCAGATCCAAAGACAAAGTGATGCTCATTGCATTCTTTGACATCGACGGTTTGGTGCACCATGAGTTCGTACTGCCTGGACAGACTGTTACTGGCAATTTCTATGTGCAAGTTTTGCAGAGGTTGCGCGATGCAGTTCAGAGGAAGCGGCGTGACAAGTGGCAGGGACAGTGGTTTCTGCATCACGATAATGCACCGAGCCACACATCACTTGTTGTGCAGCAATTCCTTGTCGAGAAAAACATTCCTGTCATCACTAAACCAACGTACTCTCCGGATCTCACTCCGAGTGACTTTTGGCTGTTCCCTACTCTGAAAACGGGCCTCAAGGGGACACGTTTCGCAACCATGGACGACATCAAATCGAATGCGACGGCTGAGCTCCGGAAGATTCCAGAAGAAGCTTTCCACTCTGTTTCCAACAATGGCAGGATCGTTGGAGCAAGTGTGTGTGCACAAGGGTCCTACTTTGAAGGTGATTAGGTAAGCATTGCCATATGTCCTACCATTAGAGTGCTATACCACCGTTCCGGGAACTTTTTGACTGCCCGTCGTAAACATTAGAAGCATCCTATTAAAATCTACATTCATGTTTATGTTGCACTTCGCCACACTATTACTCTTCCTTGTATCATGCAGGTATAGGACTGGATTTTGAGTAGAATCTGGGATCACTTAATTCCCAACTACAGCCCCAGTCCAGTGGTTTAGCATCCATGACAGCACACAGAGAAGTCATTTGCTCTCTTCTTTCCTATATCTCTTCCTGACATGTAGCTATACACCTCTGCTTATTTTCCTCCATATCTATGATGTTCACCCTGAAAAAGGCAACTGCAATGTTTGCGAAATTGGAAGGACTGCAACAAACAATGTTCATACACATTTCATGCTTTATTGTCACAGTACATATCATTTAAGGTTATTCAGTTGTTCAACTTTCTCTGATTGCATTATGTCTCGCACTTCATTCTCTGCTGGTAATGGCAACAACAATCCCATTTCCAGCCATTATGGGTCAGTATATTAAGCAACAGCGGTATTAGAACTGGTTATCTCCTGAGGAAATCCGATGCTCACCTATAACAACACTTGAAACAGGCATATTCTGTTTTGCAACTTGCATCCATCCCCCTGGTGCTGCACACAGGTCGACACATACTCGTGATTTCTGCAGAAACTCGAATTTCCGGTTTAATTGTATGAGCTTGAAAGCTGCTCGGGATCTGTAACCTGAAATGCGAAAAAGTCATACTTAGCAATGACCAGCAGTCATTATACACATATGTATGTTGCAAAATAGGAACCTAACCTAAAATATCTGCGAAATCAAGTACAAAATTTAATATACCTGTTTCCTTTGCAAGTTGATAGTATTTATCTTTGCGCTGTTTCCCAAGCTTTTTCTTCCCCATTTGTATCACATAAACGAACGATGAATATAAACAACGGTTCAAAACACACCATGTGCAATACTTCTCGATCAAGTCACACTGCTCCGCCAACGATACAATGTTCTGGTAATTCTTGTACGGAGTGCATGGAGCGATTAAGCCATACTAAGCCACCTACCGCTGCGATCGCTGCGATCGCTCCGATAGTTATATTCTGTGGTGGGCACGTAGGGCACGGGTCACGTGCGCAGGCACTGCTGTTGTCAGGGCCTGATAGAGGTTTGCAGGTGGGTTTGGTGCAAGTGGGCACGAAGGCCACGAGTCACGTGCGCAGGCACTGCTGTTGTCAGGGCCTGGTAGTGGTTTGCAGGTGGGTGTGGTGCGAGTGTTTGTACCAAATACAATCCGTATTGGGGTACTTAATATTCCTTAAGGACCGCTCAGGGCAGCCAAACGTGGAAAGTGCTGTAATGTCTTTCATTCATTCATTGTTTTATTAATACTGTAGATCATGATACAATGATATAGGATAAGTCTTTCAGCTAATATACATTATTAAATTACAACAATCTTAATACTAAAAAATTATATAAGGTATACAACATTTTATACATTATATACCATATACCTCTGCATATATCAGTAGCCAGTATTCAAGAATTCATCGTTCAAATAGTCCTCCGTTGAGTAATAGCACCTCTGAATAAGTAACTTCAATTCCCTTGTGAACTTATTTTTGTTTTCTATTTCTTTTATGTTGTTAGGCAATTTGTTGTAAAAGATACAGCCATCTACTGAAGGATTACTATTATAAAGTTCTAAGTTGTGCCCATATATATGATAGTCTTTATTATTTCTTGTGTTATTTGTATGTATTTGTTCATTCACTGTGCAGTTACACTTTTTTTTTTACATATAGGATTGTTTCTTATATATATAGCGAGTATACTGTTAGTATCTTTAGATTTATAAAGCTATCTCTGCAGGATTCCAGATGTTCTAGCCCTGCAATGTATCTTGCTGCCCTTCTGGAGTACAAAATTTCTTCTAGTGAGGATCTTAGCACTATGTCTCCATACTGTTATTCCATAAGATAGATCAAAATGTAATACAACATTCTTCTTTCATTTAAATCGAGTATTTTAGATAGCCTGTTAATTATGAACAGGTTATGGCTAATTCTACTGCAGGTTTTTTCAATATCTAATTCTCAACTCAAGGTACTAGGAAATTTGTGCTTTTTACATTTGATATTTCCCTGTTCTTTATTAGGATTTTTAGATTACTCTCCTGCCTGCATTGTTTTTTCTGGAAGAGAATATAGTGAGTTTTAGCTGGATTTATAAATAAATTATTTGTCTCAAAGTATTGCTCTACCACTCCTGTATTATTTGAAGT